GGGCCCGGGCTGGGGATTTGAACCTGCCACCTTAGGTGTATGTGGCTGGCGCCTTAGCCACTTGAGCCACAGGCGCCGAGCCCAGGACTCTATTCAAAGCAAAAACAGTATTGTGATATTAATGTTCATTTAATTTTGTTGAACAAATTAAATTGTGGGAGCCATAGTCTCTTGTTAGTAAATACATAGCGTAGAATTTATTTTGAAGACAGTGGCTGCTTAAAATTCACTGTAGTTTGTGCTATAGCATTTTTATTGCTGTAAGAATTAAGGTTTTAATTATTCTGTGGTATAAGAGTATGTTTAACTCAAGATGCTGATACAAATCTATGTGTATATCTAAATTCTACATATTTTAAAAATATGAACTAAAGTATTACCTTTTACTGTTACAAGGTTAATAAATACTGGCAAACTGATAAATACCAGCATTTGTTTGCCTGAGAATTTGTTTTATATAAAAATTAGGATAAAATCAGAAATAGTAGATTTAAATATAGTATAATCTGGGAGATAAAGTGGAAGAATATTGCTTTTTCTTGGCCTTCAGTTTCTCACTTTTGGGATACGTGTTAATTGGTAGTGGAGAGTGATAACCAACTTTTATGTTCTAAATATCTATCTTTTCTGTTAGAGAATATTCGGAGAAGCTGCTGAAAAAAATTTATATCTCTCTCAGTTGATTATATTGGATACACTGGAAAAATGTCTTGCTGGGGTAAGTTAATCCATTCTTAAATAGGCAAGTTTTGTGAATTCAATCTTGAGAATGTGATATACCAAAGTATAGGTCTATAAAATGATGAGAACAGTCTGCCTAAGACATAGGAAAACAAATTTTGTTAATACAGCTGGCCTGGTGGCCCAGTCTTCCGTGGAAAATAATTTTCTCATCTTTTTTAAATTAAATATTAAGTATTCATTTAACAATTATAAATTGTTAAGTTGTAGCTGTATATCTGTCTCGTAAGTTTTTTAGAAAGATTTTATGAAAAAATCACTATTGGACGTAACTAATCTCTCAGAAATATGAGAGACTGATTCAGAAGACCAAGAGTATTATCATATGCCTTTCTGTATGAAAATAATTTCAGTATTCTGTTTTTCAAATCTATCTTTCAAATAATAACTCAATGTTAAATAATTTCAGTATTTTTCAAATTCTGTCTTTCAGATTTTTAAAAGAGAACTTAAAAATTAAACTGATCCTATTAAGGGTAGATACTACCTTAAGAACACTTGTTTTGTGTACATATGAACAAATGGGTATGTGCAGGAGTAATGATTGAATACCAAACACTTTTTTTCTCAGGTTTCCTTGAAGTTATCTCAGTATATTTCAATTGTGACTTCAGTTGAACCGTTTAGAAAAGATTTTTGTTGTGTAAAGCAATGTGCTTCTCTACTTCAGTAACCTTAATTCTTGATTGATGGTAGGAATTTATATAAACATATAAATTAGATACCTTCAATTTAAAACCTGCCTAGTCAATGTATATCATAGTTTAATTTTTATATTCTCTCTTCGGCACAGATTTCTGAATTTTACTTTTATTCAGAATCATTTCTTTCTTCCACATATGCTCCAGTTCTTAATAGTAAATCTAGATGGTAGGGACACAATATATGAGGACTGATTGTACAGTTGAGAGGAGAAGGAACGGTCAAAAGTGTGAAATTGTATAAAATTTATATATATTATGTATAAAGTTACATTCACTTTGTGTAAGGGATGGAGTAGGGAATTGGAAAAAATAATTATATTGACACAACTATGTATCCCAAGGCAAGCCTATAGACCACAAAATCTAAGCATTATAATTTGAACTCTGTTCTTGTCCTTGACTGTATTCCAAACTTGTGGGACAGTGTTTATAAGTTTTCTGCTTAAATTGAGGATAAACTAATTGTTTCAGCTTGATATTTTCTGTTCATTTTAATACACTCTTGTTCATTTGTAAAATGGAGTGAAAGAGCAAAAGGGCTGTTAACATAGGATGATATAATTGGGAAGCTAGGCAATTTTAAAACTCCTAAATCAGTTCTTTGTGGTGGTATTATTACTTTGATTATAAATTACTCATATATTAGCCACACCCAAGATTGAATGGGGGCAGGGTGGTTTATTGCCTCTTTTAGTCCATAGCTTTTCTCCATAACTTTTATAATTGAGCGGTAATTATATTTTGGAAGATGATCACAGGTATTATTGGTTCCTGTTTGATCTAATATCTTGGGAGATAGATTAGTTAAAATGCTAATAAATGGACCTGATATAAACATATAATAGATAAAAAGGTAATACTTTGGCTGGCTCTACTATTGAAAATAAATATAATTTTTTTCATTAAAAGTAATGCTGTTTATATTATTAAACAGTTGTTATTTTCTTGGATTGCCTTTAATAATTTTAGAGATGTCTTTTGATTTTCAGTTTTAGGTCTTGATTTTCGGTTGAGTTGAGGCAGTTTAAGAATTGAGCCTTCAAACATATATTTATCATATAAGTAGTTGGACTAGCTAAATGAAAAAGAACTAATATTTACCACTATCTTATTATGAGTAAAAATTTTGTAGAATTTGAGGAATCTTATTTTTGTTTCTGGGCATATGACTATTATTCAAAAGATTTAATACTTTTCTTATTTTTATTTACTAATTTGGAGTTGGTTTCAACATCTACTTTGTTTGGTTATCCTATAAACAAGAAATAGGCATTGTAACTTGAATTTTGCAGGTTTTTGTGAAATCTGTTTATTTACTATACATGTATTTCAGTGTATTTGGATCTGAAAGCTCTTGGATTACAATTAAGAATCTGGAGGTTGGTGGAGTGGGTTATGTACTTTGGGAGACCCAGGTGGGAGGATTGCTTGAGGCCAGGAAGACTAGACCAGCCTGCACAACATGTGAGACCTCATTTCTACAAAAAAATTTTTAAAAAATTTAGCTAGATGTGGTAGCACCCGTAGCTCAGTGGGCAGGGTGCTGGTCATATATACCGAGGCTGGTGGGTTTGAGCCCGCCCTGGGCCTGCTAAACAACAATGGCAACTGTAACCAAAAAAATTGTCAGACGTTGTGGCAGGTCCCTATAGTCTCAGCTACTTAGGAGGCTGAGGCAAGAGAATCACTTAAGTCCAAGAGTGGAGGTTGCTGTGAGCTCCAATGCCATGGCACTGTACTGAGAGTGATATATTGAAACTCTGTCTCAAAAAAAAAAAAATAAAAAAATTTTTTAGGTAGATGAAGTGGCATATGCCTATATTCTCAACTACTCGGGAGGCTGAGACAGGAGGGTCAGTTGAGCCCAGGAGTTTGAGGTACAGTGAGCTATGATTGGACTACTGTACTCCAGCCTGGGTGATAGTGAGAGCTTGTCACTAAAAAACAAAACAAGACAAAACAAAAAAGAATCGAATATAGCACACCTTTATATAAAGTGTGTTCTTTGTCATCCTGCCCATCTTATCAAAATTGTTATTCATAGGTGGATATGAAAACTGTTAGGTGAAATAGTAAGTCTGCAGGATAGCTTGCTTATCCCTTAGTTCTTTGTTAATTGTAGAGTAGATAATTACAAGGTAGAGATAATCAGTGCTGCCATCAAAGGTATCAAACTTGATATCATTAACAGGGGACCACCTGGTATTATGTACTCATGATGTGATGAACTTACTGAATTATCTAAAATGTTTAACCTGAATCCAAACAGACCATCAGGTTTAAATTCTGGCTTATAGAAAGTATAGTAACTGGAAGAACAAGCTAAGTTATATTGCTAGGAAATACTTAAATCAAGACTGTGGAACCTTCTATAAGGCAACTGGCCTAGTTTCGTTAAGCCAGTGTCGTAGATAGTATATAAGATGTATGGGGAGATTCCGCTAACATAATCTCAAGGAACATAATAATGTTGCAGTCTATGAACCCTTTTTGGATCCTCATTGAATAAAAAAAAGAATCCCATGTTTCTTGGGGGGGGGCAATATAGTTTGAATGCAGAAGTTTGAATACAGGTTTAGTATTAGATGAAGTTTGAATACAGATTGGATATTAGATTATACAAGGAATTATTTATTTTTGAAGTGAAGTTTGAATACAGATTTAGTATTAGACGATACAAGGAATTGTTTATTTTTCCTGTGTGTTAATTGTACTGAGGTTAATGTTAGATTAAGTCCTTTTTTTTTTTTCTTAAGAGAGGCTGAGGTATGTAGTGATATTATGTTTATAACTTGAAATGATTCAACGGGCTCGGCGCCTATAGCTCAACCGGCTAAGGCGCCAGCCACGTACACCTAAGGTGGCGGGT